ATAATAAAAAAATGAATCATAAAATCATTAGGAACAAGGTAAACTAACTGCAACAATACGCTATGGAACACTTTCAATTGACCGCAGCAAACGGCTGGCGTCCTTAATCCCTCTGTAAAACAAACCAAAATTAAATGTAATTAACACTCGTAAAATATTAAAATTACAAAGTTGAGGAAGACAACAAGATGTAAGGAAGGAGAACGTTAATCATGCCAGACAAATAACACTTACCAACGTTACTTGGAGAGTCGTGGCAATGAGAAATTCCTCCGATGTTGAACTGCACTGACAGGTGTTCTGGATGAACTGAGATTACGCGTCTGACGTCACGTTCAGGAGCAGTCGGTCACGATTAACACTCAAATCTCTTTTAGGCAATGAACACTTTGAATAATACAAATATTTATAATCTTTACATTCCAGCCACTGAAATGACAGCGAAGGAGGCGCATGGGAAAGGGAGGGTGGGCTGGGCAGCACAAGGTTGTTGGTTCGAATCCTCACAAGGTTGTTGGTTCGAATCCTGGCTGCTCCCTGTGCCAAGTTGAAGTGTCACTGAGCAAGACATCTAACCCCCTATTACTCCACATAAATTATGTCAAACCATGGGCGTTTTGGATAAAAGTGACAGCTGCATGTATAGTAACAGGTCCTGTAAGTCAAAGTCATCATCGTATCTCATGAGATATTATCTCATTATGATGACCTACAGGACCTGTTTTTCAGTGGCTGACATGGGCTCCATACATTAACCTACAACAGATGTAGATGGATTGTGATTCACTGCACTTGTATGTGTATTTCCACCACTTCATAAAATATATGTAACATGCAGTTAAATTACGGTAGTCTGCTATTATTGTAAATTGACAGGTTTAACTGTTTATTCATGACATTGGCCGTTAATTTACAAGCAAGGGATGGAAATTTAACTGTATGTTACAGTTATTATGATATACTGTAAGATACCGTTAGAAATGCACCGTAAATTTACAGCAATTTGTTACAGTGCACACACACACAAGCACGCTTCCTGGGAAGCTCTGTTAAACAGGAAGGGATGAGTGTGTGTTTCTGGCGTGTTTGGATTGGAGAAAGGAGTTGGGTTTGAGTTATGGTCTCGACGGCAGAGGACAGGAAGGAAAATAGTTTTTACTGAGAGCTTCAAAAATAGTTATGTTGTTTTTCCCAACGCTGTGAGAACAGGTGACAAAAAATAAAGTTTTCCATTTGACTAGAAAAGAAGGCTTCTTTTGGTGGTTTGTTGCCTTAATCCAGTGGTTCCCAAACTAAGGTTGCATAGAGTTTATATATTATAATGCAATTAATTGAAAAGAAAAAAGGAACCACCGTAATTCTTTTTTTTTTCTTTTTTTCTTTTCTTCAAAGGTGTGTGGGGGGGCGAGGGGGGGTCTAACAATGTCCCGAACCACCAACAGTTAGATGGTTTGTTGCCTTAAACTAAGTTGATGTTGCCTGAATCTAACTGTTGGTGGTTTGTTGCCTTAATCTAACTGTTGGTGGTTTGTTGCCTGAATCTAACTGTTGGTGGTTTGTTGCCGTAATCTAACTGTTGGTGGTTTGTTGCCTGAATCTAACTGTTGGTGGTTTGTTGCCTGAATCTAACTGTTGGTGGTTTGTTGCCTTAATCTAACTGTTGGTGGTTTGTTGCCGTAATCTAACTGTTGGTGGTTTGTTGCCTGAATCTAACTGTTGGTGGTTTGTTGCCTGAATCTAACTGTTGGTGGTTTGTTGCCGTAATCTAACTGTTGGTGGTTTGTTGCCTGAATCTAACTGTTGGTGGTTTGTTGCCTGAATCTAACTGTTGGTGGTTTGTTGCCGTAATCTAACTGTTGGTGGTTTGTTGCCTGAATCTAACTGTTGGTGGTTTGTTGCCTGAATCTAACTGTTGGTGGTTTGTTGCCTTAATCTAACTGTTGGTGGTTTGTTGCCGTAATCTAACTGTTGGTGGTTTGTTGCCTTAATCTAACTGTTGGTGGTTTGTTGCCGTAATCTAACTGTTGGTG